TGCGTGTGACTCTCTCCAGCCGCGTCGTCCCTCGATGGAGCGCGATCCGTCGATGTCGCCCCGCCGCAACTAGGTGGAAGGCCCATCGACATATCGAAGTCCAGGTGGCTCCCCATCTGCAAATCCGAGATCCCCAACCCCCTCGCCACAGCTGGAGTCATTCCCGCCATGACCGGATCGTACTGCTCCGTGAGGAACTGCTGCATGAGGCGCTCGTCGCCGCCCCCACGCGACACCTCCGCCTGTGCCCCTATCTCCTCCACTGCTCCTGGCACTCCCCCCTCCACTGCATCTGCTCCTCCAGCTGCTCCTGCTGCTGCAGCCACAAGCCCATCCAGTGCAGTTGCTCCTCCAGCTGCTCCTCCCGCTGCTCCTCCAGCTGCTCCTGCCTGCCCCTCCACTGCATCTGCTCGCCTTGGCGCTGGTGCCTCCTCCGCCAACACTGAAGTTGCCAGCTCCTCTAGCAATGAAGTCGCTGCTGCTACAGCTATCTGGTCCACCACTCCTGCAATCGTCGTGTCCGCCAATCCCCCCTCCACTGCCATCTCCCCCTCCACTGCTGCTGCCGACGGTCCCCCCTCCTCCTGCAAGACCCCCGGAGAAGCTGATCGTAACCTCAACTGTCGGACTGCCCCGCCTCTGTGGAGTAGTCCGCGCTGAGGCAAAGAGGACGCCAACTCCTCCGTGTCCTCTGCTGTTGTGGTCGGCTCATATGGCGCGACGGGCGATGGCGGTGCAGGACTCGGAGCAGAAGGTGGCGGCACGGACGACTCCCGCCTCGTCGGAGCGGGGCTCGTCGCCCGCGCTCCTGTGCCGCCCGTGGAAGCGACCTCCCCGAACGGTCCCCATAACTCCTCTCCCCCCATCATCTCCCTCTTCGCCCTGTCCGCCGCCCATCGTGTAGTATGCGCTCTGGTCTCCTCCTCGGGATCCTCGTGCGTCTCGTCGATCTCAAGGGGAATGCGGAGCGCGGGGTGGTCCGCTGCCTCGGGTACCGGCTCCTCGTCGGAATCATCCTCCCTGGGGTAAGGACGGAAAATGGAAGCACGTCTACCGAATACGGCCTCAGCGGCGGGTGGTGCGGAGACCCCGATGGGATCCCGGGTGATAAGCGCAACCTGACGGGCAATCTCCTCCGGCGTCATCCCCCTTCGCGTGCCCGTGCGCACTGGCTCCAACTCCAGTCCGGCCTGGTTGTCTAGCATGCCCTCGTCCCGCTGCCATGGCAACACATAACCGTACCCATCCCGCCGATACTCCGACAACCACACATTCACGGTGATCTCAACGAGCTGAACGACCTCCTCAAAGGCCAACTGGTTGCGCTTCTTCGTGTGAATGCCCTCGTGGACTGCCCAGTTCCTCTCCGCTTGAGAGGCGCAAGACCACATGTGCATCACACGAAGAGTGCAGCGCTGGAACTCAAGTGCGCCAGACCCGTACTGAGACCACCAGGACGTGCACTCAATCGTCTCCCTGTCGCCGCTGCAAGCACGCCCACGAGCACGCCCCTCCCCCCCTCCCCAATCCCCAAAATGTGCCCTGCTGCATGTGGAAGTCCTCAAACTGCCGACATGCAATGATGTACTCCATACCATCCTCCTCGAAACCCGTCTGCGTCAAAATGTACCTCTTGGCTTGCCTCACAAGCCAACGAGGGTAATCCCTCACCTCGCCCAAAAAGTACTCAACATGTCACCTGCGGGGGTTCAGTAAGAACCCCGCGCAGTGAGCAGGCTCCAACATGTGCTGTGTGCGAGCCTGCACACGCCTGATGATGCGGTCATCGAAAACCCTCCCCAAAGGAGCGCATGCATCAGTGACACGACGGACAAGATCCTGTGTCCACTCGATCATGAGGGACATGTACTGCCCCCCACGATCCATCCGCCTAAGCAGCTCCATGACGGGCTGCATGATGTGGAGTATGGTGGCCATCGTGTGCCACCAAGGCTCCCATCTGATCTGCCGGCGCACCCAACGTTCCATGTCGCACACATCGGCAGACCACGGTATAGAAACAAACTCGCGCCCGTCCTTCAGGGCCAACAGTCTCTCCAACATAGAATAAACAGACGCGAACCGCGTCTCGCAAGAAAGCACAAGCCCCTTGTTGGGGCTGCGCTTCCTAAAGAAATGAAGGGCGGCCTGGTGGGTTTTGAAAAACACCACCAGAACACGAGCGCGTGTAATCGCGTCCACAAACGCGTCGCAACTCGTCCCCATGTCTGACAACAATTTGTTGCAGACATGGACGGAACACGGAAGCCAAGTGATCCTCCTGAGTGCAGGAGGGATGCCCGGCGAGGCCAATGCCCTCGCAGCCCCCACGTACGCGGATGCGGAGTCTGTGCATATCGCATTGACCCGCTGCGGACCGCCGAAACTAAACTCGTGGAAGATGGTCACCCATCTCCGAAGGACGTGCACTATATCGTCCGTCTCCCCCTTGCGATTGATCGTCGTGTACACGACGACCCCTCGCGAGCCGGCGGCAAGGAAATTCACGATCGGTCTCCCGTCTCGTGATTTCCTCCCGTCAGAGAGGAGGGTGGCACCAGTGATCCAGAATGGCTGCCTCACCTCCTCCAACTCCTCCGCCAGCTCCTCACGGTGGGTCTCCACCGCCTGCATACTCGCAATCTCGCTGTGGCTGGGGAGCACAGTGCGCGGGGAACTGCCAGGCTGCTCAAGAAGGACCTGCTGGTATGCCTTTCAAGCCTGGTTGCGGAAGGCTTTGAAGGGGACCCTGCTAGAATAGAGCCAGCGAAGGAATGCCTTCTTGTGCCGAGCAACCCACTCGCCACCGTAGACGTCAGTGACCTTCTGCTGGCGAAGCCTCTTCCCAGCTGGGGCGGCGGCCGGATCTGTTCCACCTTCCTTCCTCTTGGAAGAACCCTCCCCTACAGGTCCCTTGGCTGCTCGCCTCAAAAAGTCCTCCATCCTCTCCCCAGTGTCTGGATAAACCTCAGGCACGTCCTCGTGTCCCGGGACTCCCAACTCGCCCGGGACACGCGCCTCGCGATCGACGTCGATCGCGCCCTCCTTCGTGTCTCCACCTCCACCATCTCCCCCGACCCCTCCTGACGCTCCCCTCCACGGGCTGCCGCCCCGCCTCTCCTCCCCTCACACCACCCGTGCCAGGCACATCGAGTCCGCGCTCCGCCGCGTACCTGGCAACCCTTTCCATTTGATCGCTTTCGAACTTCTGTTGACTCCGTCGCGCGATCTCGTACAAAGCCTCGTCGCTGACGTCCTTGCAGTAGTTCGTCTGCGTAAAATGCCTTGTCGCCTGGAATTCAACGGAAAAATTTCCCACAATTAAATAATCATTCTATAGTAAAATTACAATCTAAATTTTAAATTTTCATTCCATCTTATAAAATGTCATTCAAATTTTAAAATTTTTCATCTTACTTGCAAACTTTCATTCCAAGAATAGGGTATCCCTTCTTATTTGGACTGCATGCTAGAGATAAAATGAAAGTCTGGATGAGTTCATGAAATATTTTAATTGGACTGTCATTCTAAGTAACGATTTTTAGTCATAAATAGGTTAATCCAATCTAAATAAGAAGATATTTGTTGGGTTAGAATGCAAATTTAATTAAAACATTTCATAAACTCATCCAGACTTTCATTCCATCTTGAACAAATAGATGTAGCTGGAAGGGAAAACTCATATTTAGACGGGAACTGATCAAATAAAACTGAAAAATTTAGAATTGGACGAACATTGGAATGATAATTTATAAATATTAAGGATTTTTTTTTTATGGAATGTTTTTTCAACTTTCATTTCTCGTGGGAATTTTTATGTTGTTGGCTCCTCTTAAATACTTTGTTGCAAAAAGTGCAACGCAGCATCATGAACCCCTTGTTGTCGACCTTCTAACCGACAACCAGGTAACGGTACACAGGGGAGTGGCCCCTGAATGTGTCCTGCACATGGTCAGGGGCAGGCTCATGCTGACGCCGCTGCGACCTCCCCATGTCGGCCGCCCTCGCCGCCTCGCGAGTCAACAATCGCAACCCTC